CAGGCCGGGCGCTGTGGCGTCACGCCTGTAATCCTAGGCTCTTGGCGAGCCGAGTTGCGGGCGGATTGCTCAAGGTCAGGAGTTCAAAACAAGCGCGGTGAGCGAAGAGAGCGAGACCCCGTCTCTACTAAAATTAGAAAGAAATTAATTGCCAACTGTATGATATATAAAAATTAGGCCGTGGTGATGTGGCGCATGCTGTAGTCCCAGCTACGTGGCGGAGCCTGAGCGAGGAAGGATCACTCACCCAGGGAAGTGTTTGGTTGCTGTGAGCTAGGGGACGCCATGCACTCACTCTAGCCTTGCTGACACAAAGCGCAACTCGTGTCTCAAAAAAAAAAAAAAAAAAAAAAAAAAAAAAAAAGATGGCGTGGCGTGTGGCTCATCGCCTGTAACCTAGCTCTTGGAGCCGAGGGCGGCGGATGCTCAAGGTCAGGGAAGTTCAAAACCAGCCTGAGCAAGAGCGGAGACCCCGTCTTACTTAAAATGAAAGAAATCAATTGGCATACTGAGTTAGTATGTATATATAAAAAAAAAATTAGCCGGTCATGGTGGCGATGCTTGTGTCAGGTCCACAGCTACTTTGGGAGGCCTGAGGCAGGGAAGGATCACTCTGAGCCCAGGAGTTTTGAGGTTGCTGTAGCGTAGGCTGACGCACGGCACGTTCACTCTAGCTGACAACAAAGCGAGACTCTGCTCAAAAAAAAAAAAAAAAAAAAAGAAAAAAAAAACAAAACAAAGGTGCGCATCCACCAAGACAGGAAGAGAACCACTACCAGATACCAAACTGGCAAACCTTTATCTTGGGCTTTAACCTCCAGAACTGTGGAGAAATAATTCTGTTGTTAAGGCAGCCAGTCTAGGTATTTATTATGACAGCCCCAAAGCCAACTAATACACCATCTGTATGCAAGATGACTCCAAATCTCTAGTCTGGACTTTTCCCCTGAACTTGGCTTTTCCATTGGCCTACTTAATGTTATCATGTTACACTTGGATACTAGTGGATCCCAGATTTACTTTTCTATAAACTGAACTTCTGCTCTCCCAAAGCTTACTCCACAACCATCTTTTTCTTCTCAATTAAGGTTAGGTTGTCTTTTAGTTGTTTAGGCCAAAAACTTCTGAGCATCCTTGACTCTTCTATCAAACCAGCAAACACATTGGCTCTGTGTTCATATATATCCAGAATCTGATGACTTCACCACTTGCAGCTGGTCCAACGTCAGCCACCAGCTCTTCACCTGATTATGCAGTAGCTCCTATCTGGCCTCCTCCTTGCACCTTGTTCTGTTTCAACTTCAACAGCCAGAAGATCCTTTACAATATAAATCAGGGCCAAGCATGGTGCCTCACACCTGTAATCCCAGCATTTTGGAGGCCAGGTGGAAGATCAGGGAGGCCAGGATTCAAAACAGCCTGGTGAATATAGTAAGAAAAAGTAGCCAGGGTGGTAGCATGGTTGCCTGTACTCCCAGCTGCTCAGGAGGCGTCAGGCAGGAAGATGTTGAGCCCAGGAAGTCAAGGCGCATGACTTATGAACACCACTGCATTCTGGCCTGAGTGACAGAGGCAACTTTGTAATAAACAAAATATAGATAGATAGTCTCTAAAAATGAGGAATGAGTAAGTGTCAATCATTGTCACTCCTCTTGCCTCACTGACTATTCTGCTGGGTCTCATTCCCTGTCCAGCCATTCTGGTCTTCCCTCTCTACTCCTGCAACATGATAGGCATGTGTCTGCTCAAGGGCTTTTGCATGTACTTGTGCTTAGACATTCTTCCTTATATTATGTATCTTCCACGTAATAAGAACATGATCAGTAATAATTTCAAATAGTGAATTTTTGATTCTAGAGTATATTGAAGTGGACAACAGACTTCCTGACAAGATGTGGGGTTTGGGGAAGGTGGCAGGAAAAGAAACACTTCTCCAACTGCATGATGATGGCATTGAGTGTTTATCTCTATATCCTGTGCATCGAGTGCTGATCGGTTTAAGTTCCATTAAACAGTGACGTACATGTCGGTGTTTGTTTTTCCATTGCTTACCAATACTTCCACTTGATAGAATGTCCTTAGTTCCAATCCAGTGTGCATAATATTAGTCTTTGTTTAATGGCCCTGAGTAGTACCCCAGTATACCACTACATCCACTTTTTTAATTCTGTCCATGAATTGATGGGCACTTGGTTGATTCTACTTCCTTTGCAATTGTGAATGGTGCTGAATAACATTCTAGTGTAGTTCTCTTTTGTATATGGATGGCCACCTTTGTAACAGAGGGAATGGCCTGAAAAAGCAGCAAAGATATTTTCTGTCTCTTTAAAGCATCCTCCACTCCTTTTTGAGATCTCCTTTGCCAAGATCCTGTTTCTAGCGATATGGGGGGTTTTCAGACCTCCCTGTTGGATTTGTTCTGAGGGGCCGATCTGGGGGGGAAATCAAGCAGTTTAGGGGGATTTGGGGACGTGGTTTGTATTTTGAGCTCTTTTGCAGTTCCCAGGGAACAGGGGGCTAGGCCACCATGTGGGGAAGGTTTCCCAGGGAACGGGGGGATTAGACCAGCCATTTGGGGAGGGTTTCTGAACCTTCTAGTTGAGGTGATGTTTATTCCTTTTGGATTGCCATTTTGTGAACCTTCCAGTACTGGGCAGGGCATTTGGGGAACTACTGTGGTACAATCAGGGGTGGCATTTGTCCCCTTTGGATTCCTGTTTGTTTGACAGGCCTGGCATTTTGTGTTGAGAATTTTCTGTACTATCTGTGTTTGTTTGTAAAGTTTTGTTGCAATATAGGAAAGTTCCATCTAAATGTTCCTTAGGCTGGATGTGGTGGCTCACGCCTGTAATCCTAGCACTCTGGATGCCTAGGCGGGAGGACTGCTCGACGTCAGGAGCTCAAGACCAGCCTGAGCAAGAGTGAGATCCCGTCTCTACTAAAAATAGAAAGAAATTAGCCAAACAACCAAAAATAGAAAAAATTAGCCGGGCAAGGTGGCATGTGCCTGTAGTCCCAGGTACTCGGGAGGCTGAGGCAGGAGGATCACTTGAGCCCAGGAGTTTGAGGTTGCTGTGAGTTAGGCTGACACCATGGCACTCTAACCCGGGCAAGAGAGCGAGACTATGTCTCAAAAAACAAAGTCCCTTGGGAAAAATTTTGGCTGAATGGTAGCCTATGAGTAAAGAGAATGGTGTTATTATAACCCAATATTTGTGCTGGAGTGGAAAAGTGGCTGTTACATGAAACCCTGAGTATACTGCCACAACACCTGGCCCTCAATTTATGCTAATTATAAATTTGGGATTACTAAAGTATTTTAGGAGGGTGAATAGTGGTGTATACATGCTTTATGGCTCTATTCAATTAGGGTCTATTCTTTTTTTTTTTTGAGACAGAGTCTCACTCTGTTGCCCGGGCTAGAGAGCCATGGTGTCAGCCTAGCTCACAGCAACCTCAAACTCCTGGGCTTAAGTGATCTTCCTGCCTCAATCTCCTGAGTAGCTGGGACGACAGGCATGCGCCATCATGCCCAACTAATTGTTTCTATATATTTCTAGTTGGCCAATTAATTTCTTTCTATTTTTAGTAGAAACGGAGTCTCGCTCTTGCTCAGGCTAGTCTCGAACTCCTGAGCTCAAATGATCCTCCCGCCTCAGCCTCCCAGAGTGCTAGGATTACAGGCATGAGACACCACACCCGGCCTCTATCCTTAATTTACTATTAAATCTTCCTTTGACCTTTAGTTTCATAAGGTAGGACATTCTTTAATTACAAAATGTAGGCTGGGCATGGTGGCTCATGTCTTTAATCCTAGCACTCTGGGAGGCTGAAGCAGGAGGATCGCTCAAGGTCAGGAGTTTGAAACCAGCCTGAGCAAGAGTGAGACCCCCGTCTCTACTAAAAATAGAAAGAAATTAGCCAAACACCTAAAAATATATAGAAAAAATTAGCCAGGCATGGTGGCGCATGCCTGTAATCCCAGCTACTCACAAAGCTGAGGCAGAAGGATTGCTTAAGCCTACGAGTGTGAGGTTGCTGTGAGCTAGGCTGATGCCACTGCACTTGGCACTCTAGCCCAGGCAACAGAGTGAGACTTTTGCCTCCAAAAAACTAAAAAAGGATAAAAGAAAATGTAGCTCCTTTCTTCCTATCTCATAAGCTACACCTTGACCTAACATTTTCATATAAGCACTTCTGCTTACTTTAAGACCTTCAGAGTTTGCTAAAGATGGCAATATATAAGCTGAATTGGCAAAAGATGCTGAGGTTTATCTGACTAGTGCCACCAGAGGAAGCACAAATTAGGGCAGGAAGCACAAGTGTGAAGGGCAGGCATAAAGAGTAAGACTACTGTTTTTATAGGTATTGAATTTGAGGTAGACACAGTATGTCATAGTAGAAAGATCCAGCAGGCAGGCAGAAATAGACTAGAATCAGGCAGTACAAACCACAGATATCAAACACTACCTTCACGGTCAAGAGGAGGTTGTTTGTTTGATTTTTCATTAGAAATGGAGGAGGATTAGAATAGTAGAAGGTTGCAGGTAAAGCACCATTAGGAAGCCAGAGAAGCTGCAAAAAAGTGAGTAATTGTTGGAGAAAGATTCTCAAGGAGGCCATAGAGAAAGAATTTTAGGTATAAATTAAAACAATAGCTTAAAAATAATGGGAGAGAAATGAAAACATATATCCACACAAAGCATTATACAGTTTGGCTTTACACATGATAATCAAAAACCAGAAGCAACTCAAATGTTAATCAAGAGATGAATGAATGAATAAGCAAATTTGGTATATTGATATAATAGAATGCTACTGAGCAATAAAAAGGAACAAATTACTGATACAAATAATATGAATGAATCTCAGATAGTTTGAGTGAATAGGCCAGATACAAAAAAGTACACACTGTATGATTCCAGTTACATGAAATTCTAGACAGGAAATTTAATCTATAATGGCAAAAGGCAGGTCACTGGCCACCTGGGGATATGCTCGGGGTGGCAAATTTACTAAAAAGGAGCAGAAAGCTTCTGCATTCCTGCCCATGGAATCTCATTTTATCTACTGTGACTTTCATCGAATGGCAATACATCTACTCATTCTCTTTAGATGGGTTTATTCCTTATAAATATTATTGAATTATGCCTATTTTATTATAACAATTAACAACAATGGTAACAACATTCACTTGAGTTCTTCCTATGTGTCAAGCAATGTGCTAAGCACTCATGAGATCCTTACAACAAACCCAGTGGTGTAGGTACCATTATTATCCTTCCTTTTTTTTTTTGAGACAGAGTCTCACTCTGTTGCCCAGACTAGAGTGAGTGCCGTGGTATCAGCCTACCTCACAGCAACCTCAAACTCCTGGGCTCAAGCAATCCTCCTGCCTCAGCCTTCCGAGTAGCTGGGACTACAGGCATGCACCACCATGCCCGGCTAATTTTTTTCTATATATTTTTAGTTGTTTGGGTAATTTCTTTCTATTTTTAGTAGAGACTGGGTCTTGCTCTTGCTCAGTCTGGTCTCAAACTCCTGAGCTCAAACAAGCCACCTGCCTCAGACTCCCAGAGTGCTAGGATTACAGGTGTGAGCCACCACACCGGGCCCCTCCTTTCTTTTTTTTTTAAACAGATGAGGAAACTGAAGCTTAGAGAGGGTAATTAAATTACAGTAATAACCTTGATTCTAAAAGTTCATGCTGTTACCCATTATGTAAGCTTATAACAGTAAAAGCTATCTGCTGGTAGACATTTTAAAAAGATCCAAATGTTCAGAGAGGCTTTGGCTCACAGAACATCTTGTTAGCCACTAAAGTTTGATCTGCCCAAGCATATTTCCTATTTAGTTGGAGAAATTTGCATTCTCTGGGCTCCCAGGCCAAGTCCAAGCTGAAGTGCCCTATACTCCTCCAGCAGCCAAGCAGCTTCTGGTTTCCCAGTTATGACTCCCAGTTCTGAGGTTCCTTTCCCCAGTGCTGTCTCCTGTGACTATCTACCTAACATATCATTCCTCTTTGTCCAATTTCTTCTCTGTCTCCTGTCTGAAGGCTTGGATTCTATTTTGTTTCAGAACTGGATCATGAACAATTTCTCTTATTTAGGCACTAGAAATATGTTTACATTATCCATTAACTCCAAACAAGAACTTAAAGGTATACAAGAATACCCTCAGCACAGAACTGAATCCGATTAAGTTACTAACAAGGAAGAGTGGGCAAATAACAATGCATATGGTAAGGCCTTTCCTCTGCAGGTTCTAAGATTGCACAATAAAACCAGCACAAAACCTGAGGAGAATACCATACCATCATCATAAAATTAGGGGAAATACACTGTGAGCAAGTGTTTATTCAGAAAAATTCTTCAAATGGTGGGAAAAAAATATATTTTCCAATATTGTTTTGTTTGGTTTTGACTCTATGTGTCACTGTGAGTTCCATTTTACCCAAAATGTTGACAATTCCACACATATTCACCAATCAAAAATTAACGATAATTGTGTTGCTGTAACAAGCACTTACTTTTACAAAGGAAGTTCTTCCAATCTGAAGCGTTTTGCAAGGTCGGCTACTGGAACCATTCCAACTAGTATGTCAACAGTCTTCTCTAAGGTGGTCTATAAAAGTGGTTTCACATCCAAATAGAAACTCTGAAAAACAATTGATGGTAATAAAGAATTCCACAATCAGACAGAACTGACAGAAACAACTCACTCTGGTAGAGTTTGAGGGTAATCAAAGTTGGAAGTTTGTCCTGGGTGGATGAAACATAACTAACTTCAAAGATTACACTTCTGAAACAATTTTGCCATAAACCCTGATGTTGTCTTGAGAAGACCAGAAAATGGTTTTCACCCAATTTCTGGGTAACTTTTTAAGGGCTGCCGGACAGCTAGCTTTCTCTTTCTCCAGGGCCATAAGGGGTCAAACCGCTTCCAGCAAGATGGATCTAGTCTTTTACAGAGTTGGAAGGAAGGATTCAGGAGGAAAGGGAAAGCATTCCTCCGCCCCCGCCACCCCATGACCGCCAACCCCAAGGATGCCAGCCCTCAAGACCCCTCTAGAAAGGAACCACCCACCCCCACGCCGGGTGAATTCATGTTTCGAAGATCAGAAGCAAATTTACCGAGGTTTTCGGTTCCACTGAAAGAATTAAGGGGTCCAAAACTCCTTGCCCCAAACTTGTATATGACCTTGCTTCGGAGACCGTTACATTCGACCCTAAAGACCTCACCACCTTGGACTCCCCTATGTCTGGAACAAAAAGGTATCCTGGGCTGACTCCCCTAGGGACTGGTTTCTCAGGGGCTCCGTCGGGGGATGGGGTGGGGGGTTTACCTTGGACGCACGGCAGACCGGCCCAGTAGTCCTGCAGACGACCCGCAACCCGGACGCCAACGAGAAGAACACCGCAGGCGCACCCTCATTGGTTCCAGTAGGCCGGAAGTGCGTGATCAGACGGAAGTGTTCTTCCTGCGCGGTCCGCCAGGCCGGGTCACTCAGGTAGGCGGGGCCCCTGGTTCCAAACTCTGGGACCGACGGGCGGGCGGAATGCAGAAAGGAGACCCCGAGGGCCTAAGGAGGTTGTCCTGGTTCTGATCAAGGAGGGGAGGAAGGCATTTCGAGGGCGACGAGTTCACAGCTACCTCTGGGGGCAGCTGGGGCCTGGCCGAGCCCTGCCGCCGCGACACCCAAGTGCGGGAGCTTCAAGTTCCCCCGTGGAGGTGGAATTTGCGCCCGCTGCCGGAGCGACTCCTTGACCCAGACCGGATGGTCGTGGTCAGAACGCTGCTCACTTTCAGTCAGGAAAAGGTGTGCTCTCTGTCCTTACCTTTTCTGTGCTTCTGGGTTTGACAGCTTCCCTCAAGGCGTGTCCCGATAAGGGGCTTTCCTCAGTGACACCCTCGGCTTCTCAGGAAAAACTTCAGAAAGGCTGCCCGAGGCGCAGTTGAGGGAGAGAGCGCCACTGCCCATGATGTCTTCCTAGGAAGAGAGGGGTGTGTTTTAGTTGCAGGTTGCGCAACTGAAGTTATCTGGACTGCTTTAGCCTAAGTTCATATAACAAGACTACTTGTTAGTGGTTTCCCTTTTCCTAGCCAAGTCCACCCCTCGGGGGTTTGGACTTTGAGCTTCTTGTAGTCCTGATGAACAATTTCATTTTCTTCTAATTTGTGACACTCCGAACTTGAAGAATTAGAGGTTTATGCTATTTGAGACGAGTCAGTACTGTGCACAATTCAGAGTACTAGAACAGGTGAGAAGGAGTAAGGAAGGACCTTCCACTCCAGATTAAAGTATTTGAGAGCCATGTTTCTAGTTTCCATAAAGTGTACCACCTTTATTGAGTACTAGGTGGTGCCAGTGAGTTAGTCTTTCTGGACTAAATCTCAAATAATGTAGCGCCAGGTTAAGGCATTTATTTATTTTTGGTTTATTTATTTATTTATTTTCTTACCTTTCTTTCCTTCATTCTTTCCTTTCTTTTTCTTTCTTTCTTCTTTTCTTTTGAACCAGGGTCTTGTTCTGTCATCCAGGCTGCAGTGCAGTGGTGCAATCATAGCTCATTGTAGCCTTGAACTCCTGGGGCCTGCAGTAGCTAGGACTAGAGGCACATGCCACCATGCCCGGCTATTTAAAAAATGTTTTCGTGTGGAGATTGGTGTCTCACCATGTTGCCCCCGCTGGTCTGGAAATCCTGGGCTCAAATGATCCTCCTGCCTTAGCCTCAAGAGTGGCTGGGACTACCACACCCAGCCTAGGGTTAAGGCTTTTTTTTTTTTCTTGAAACAGAGTCTCACTCTGTTGCCCCGGCTAGAGTGCCATGGCGTCAGCCTAGGTCACAACAACCTCAAACTCCTGGGCTCAAGCGATCCTGCTGCCTCAGCCTCCCAAGTAGCTGGGGCTACAGGCATGCACCACCATACCCGGCTAATTTTTTTCTATATGTTTTTAGTTGGCCAATTAAATTCTTTCTATTTATAGTAGAGACTGGGTCTCACTCTTGCTCAGGCTGGTTTTGAACTCCTGACCTCGAGCAATCTGCCCACCTCGGCCTCCCAGAGTGCTAGGATTATAGGCGTGAGCCACCGCGCCCAGCCTGTAATGATTTCTTTATGTGTAGGAAAATAAAACATGATTCAATAAATTACCCTAGGATTTAAGTTTTGATAAGTGTTTATGCCTATTATTAAACAAAATGTATTTCCTGAAAGGAATATAAGTTTAATTTTTGTAAATGTAAAACTTACATGCTATACATGTTAAAGTAAATGGATATAATATCAAAACAGCAAAATCAGTAGCTTTACACCAGCAATAATCAGCTATAGTAATAACAAAAACTGTTTTCCAAATATTAACAAACAATCTAATAATAGCCAATGTTCAAAGCATATGCGAAACAGTACTTTTTAAACTAAAGATCACACAAGAAAGCTTAGGTAAATGGAACAATATATTCCTTGATAGAAAGTTTCAGATTTCAAGGATACAGATTTTCTCTATTTTAGCCTGTAATTTTAATGTAGTACCCGTCAAAATTTAGAATTTTTAATGACAATGGACAAACTGATTCTCAGATTCATTCAGAAGAGAAAGTGCACAAGAATAGCCAAGAGTTTTTTTGGGGAAAGGCAATAATAAAGGCAGTTATCAGTTATCAAAATATACCAGTGATAAAGCTATAATAATTTAAATATCAAGGTGATGGCATAGGAGCGGAAGATTATTGTGAAACAGATGAGTCCAGGAATTTGGTTTACAATAAAGGTGGCATATTGGATCAATAAATAAGACTGACTAGTAAAGGGTGTTGGAAATTAGCTATCCATTTGAAAAGAAAAAAAAGACCCTTCATAGCATAAAGAAAAAATGTTGCAGGTGGCTTTTTTTAGTAGCTAGAAAAAGAAATTTATGAAAGTGTTGAATACAAAGACACATTCTTTTATAAATCTTGAGATGTTTAGAGCCTGCCTTCATGGGACACAAAACAAAGAAGATTTATTTATTGATTTATTTATTTTGAGACAGCATCTCACTCTGTTGCCCTGAGTAGAGTGCCGTGGCATCAGCCTGGCTCACAGCAACTTCAAATTCCTGGGCTCAAGCGATCCTCCTGCCTCAGCCTCCTTAGTAGCTGAGACTCCAGGTATGTGCCACCACGCCTGGCCAATTTTTCTGTTTTTTGTAGAGATGGGGTCTCTCTCTTGCTCAGGCTGGTCTTTTTTTTTTTTTTTTTTGAGACAGAGTCTCACTCTGTTGCCCAGGCTAGAGTACTATGGCGTCATCCTAGCTCACAGCAACCTCAAACTCCTGGGCTCAAGCAACTCTCCTGCCTCAGCCTCCCAAGTAGCTGGGACTACAGGCATGTGCCACCATGGCTGGCTAATTTTTTCTATATATATTAGTTGACCAATTAATTTCTTTCTATTTATAGTAGAGACGGGGGTCTCGCTTTTGCTCAGGCTGGTTTTGAACTCCTGACCTTGAGCAGTCCGCTCACCTCGACCTCCCAGAGTGCTAGGATTACAGGCATGAGCCACCACGCCCAGCTAAATCAAAGAAGATTTACAGGAAAAGATGGATTTGTCCATTAAAAAGTAATAATTTAGGCCAGGTGTGGTGACTCATGCCTGTAATTGTAGCACTCTTGGGAGGCCGAGGCAGGAGGATTGATTGAGGTCAGGAAATCGAGACCAGCTGAGCAAGCTAAGACACCATCTTACTAAAAATAGAGAAAATTAGCTGGGTGTGGTGGCATATAGTCCCAGCTACTCGGAGGCTGAGGCAGGAGGATCACTTGAGCCCAGGAATTTGAGGATGCTGTGAGCAAGGCTGATGCCATGGCACTCTAGCCCAGGCAACAGAGCATGACTCAAAAAATAAAAGTTATATTTATCATGACAAAAATCACCATAAATAAATTTAAGTCAGGAGATGAGGTAATATTTGCAACATAATTGCAGAGGCTTCATATCCATGTTATATAAATTAATAAGAGAAAGATAACCCAATAGAAAAATGGGCACATTTCCAGAAAGAAATTCATATCAAAATATGTTCAGGCTCACAAATCATTAGGTAACTGTATCTAAGAAGAACAAAATAATATCAAGATTGTTCTCAGTCCTGGAGTATACTTATAAAAATGGAGAAAGAATGCTATAATGAATCTTTTTATAAAAGCAAAGTACATTGATCTGTTTCTTTACAATTTGTATTTCATCATCAAACTTGTTTAAGATAGACCATAGTGAAGATTCTAATTAATGTGTCAAGTCAATTCAGAAGACTGTACCAAGAAACCGCTACTCCAAAAAAAGGAAAAAAAATTAAAACTGTCAGGCATTTTTGTGCGATGTCATTACTATATGAGTTTAAAACTTTCATATCTAAATTGAGATTTTCTTTGTATAACTATCTTTCCATATTTTAGCTAAGAAAGAGTATAGCCTATTTTCTTTTTCTTTGTTTCCCTCCTACCCGCCGTGGCGTCAGCCTAGCTCACAGCAACCTCAAACTCCTGGGCTCAAGCAATCTTCCTGCCTCAGCCTCCCAAGTAGCTGGGACTACAGGCATGCGCCACCATGCCAGGCTAATTTTTTTCTATATATATGAGTTGGCCAATTAATTTCTTTCTATTTATAGTAGAGACTGGGTCTTGCTCTTGCTCAGGCTGGTTTTGAACTCCTGACCTCGGGCAATCCGCCCGCCTTGGCCTCCCAGAGTGCTAGGATTAAAGGTGTGAGCCACCGTGCCCGGCCTTATTTTATTTTTTGAGACAGAGTCTCACTCTGTTGCCCGGGCTAGAGTGCTGCGGCGTCAGCCTAGCTCACAGCAACCTCCAACTTCTGGGCTCAAGCGTTCCTGCCTCAGCCTCCCAAGTAGCTGGGACTACAGGCATACGCCACCATGCCCGGCTAATTTTTTCTATATATTTTAGTTGGCCAATTAATTTCTTTCTATTTATAGTAGAGATGGGGTCTCGCTCTTGCTCAGCCTGGTTTCAAACTCCCGACCTTGAGCAAGCCACCCACCTCGGCCTCCCAGAGTGCTAGGATTATAGGCGTTAGCCATCGCGCCTGGCCCATATAGCTTATTTTAAATTGAACTGGTATGTTGAAGCTCTTCAAATAACCAAAGATAATATACAGTATGTGGGTTTATTGTTCCATGTAGAAATTAAAATGGCTTCCAGAGGAAAGACAGAGACAAGCAAATTAAGACAGAATTTAGAAGAACAGTTGGATAGACTAATGCAGCAATTACAAGATCTGGAGGAATGCAGGTAATAGTATAATTGTATGTTGTTATGCTGTAAAATTTCTGCAGCTAGATTACAAACTCTGTGATGCAGGCCCACGTGTGATTTTGATTTCCCCTGTAGTGTTCTTCACAGTGCTTTGTCTGTTGAAGAAGTAAACTCATTGCAGATTTTGGAGTCATAAAGGCTGGAATGTGAAAGTCTTTCAATTAACTACTAAGTACATGTGAATTTAAGCAAAATACTTAACCACCTTCAAGTGGAAGTAATAACACCTCCTTGTCATTAGTATTTAAAACAGCCCTGCCTGGTATCGGGCTGCGAAGGTACTACTTGCACTTACGGTGTGTGGTTTCAGCCTTAACTGCACAAAGAACCAAGACTGTTCATGGTAGTTTTTAACAACCTTGCAAGGTTGTTGTAAATATTACAAATGAAGGGGCCAACACAATGGTTGACCCAGAGTAGGTGCTAAATAAGTGGTGGATGTTGTTATTTGTAGTAAATGTTTAATATTATAAATGGCTTTTTTAGTGAATAAAAATAACCTCTTACTCAGTTGGCAAATACTGCCTTGCTGTTTTATTGCAAGGCATATGAATTTTTTCTGCTATTAATGATGATGCTAATAACAATAGCTATTTCTCAAGTACCTGTTATATGCCAAGCACTTTTCATATCTCATTTAATGCTCATACCGACCCTGTCAGATAGGTATTATCACTGTCTACAGCTTTATAGATAAAGAAACTGAGGCTTGGCTATGTCCAGTATCTTGTCCAAGTTGATACCAGTGATGGCTTAAAGGGAAGTTATTATGTGGTTTGTTAAGTGTGCCTCATTTTGGTAAAAGAAAACCTTTTAATTATCAAAGGAACCATATTTCAGGAAAATGCCCATACTACTACTATCTGAACACATCCATTATTAGCGTTTCAATGTTCCCTTCAGCCTTTTTCTAGTGTACAAGTACAAAGATTGCATTTTTCACTTGGAACTCTGCATCTCTATATTATATTGTTCACTCTACTTCAGAGAAGAACTTGATACAGATGAATATGAAGAAACCAAAAAGGAAACTCTGGAGCAACTAAGTGAATTTAATGATTCACTGAAGAAAATTATGTCTGGAAATATGACTTTGGTGGATGAACTAAGTGGAATGCAGCTGGTAAGCTAATTTATTTACATATCAGTGACAGAATTCAGTTTTTTTCTTTTATAAGCATATTTCAGGGGGGAGGGAGGCATGGGCAATATACGTAACCTTAACATTTGTACCCTCATAATATGCTGAAATTTAAAAAAAAGTATCTTTAAGATAGAAAATATACTCTTTCTGGGTGTGACTTACTAGATGAGTGTCTACTTATGCATAAAACAGCATGTCCTTCTAGATCTTCATTTAGTTATGTATTTGGCTCCAGTGACATACACAAAAATAGCAAATGAAAACTGAACTTATAACAGCATTTGATGAACAATTAAAGACTCACCAGTCAATTATCGCAGTATCTGATTTGTTGGAATGTTTTGGTTAGTTTTTGCCTTCTTGTGTTTCTAGGCTATTCAGGCAGCTATCAGCCAGGCATTTAAAACCCCAGAGGTCATCAGATTGTTTGCAAAGAAACAACCAGGTCAGCTTCGGACAAGGTTAGCAGAGGTAAAGTTTCTTTGAATTGATCCGGCCGCTCTGTGTGTTTCTTTCCCTAGCCCAAGAATTCACTCATTATGATATTTTACAGTTTAAAAATTGGTCAGTTGATTTTAGAACCACAACCCACAATTTTCTGACAAAAGTAATACTTTGAGCAATTTTGGTTGATAATGAGTGTAGAGGTTTAAACAGTGTGTGGCAGTTCAAATTTCCACTGACCACTTCTATGTGGACTCTGCCTTTAATGTTTTACCATCAGATTCTGGAGCCCTAACTTGAAATCTCATGAAGCATTATTAGCAGCATTGTTATGTGTGCAGGTGTAGCCTAGCTCATCTAGGAATTTCAAGCATCTTTATAAACCTGATAGTTCCAGAAGTCTCCTTACAGATTTGAATATAATTAAAAGTTAACAAGTTATTTGCATCTATGGGTAATTCAGTAGCATAGTGATTAAGAGGATGGACTTGGGTCAGACTGGCTGGATTTGAATCCTTTCTCTACTACTGAGGTATGTAACCTTAGGCAAGTTATTTTATTTAACCTCTTTGTGCCTCAGTTCCCTTTCTGTAAGAAGGTGATAATGATAGTCCCTGCCTCCTATGGTTGTTAGAAGGATTAAATGAAGTTAATATGTGTAAACGCACTTAGAATAGCACCAGTGTATAGTACATGCTACTAGTGTTTGGGTGGTAGGGATCTGATACCACTTATCTCATTCAAGCCTGTAGACCTCAGTTCAGTTTGTTTTTTTGTTTTGTTTTGTTTTTTTTGTGAAGGCATATCACTTCAGAAGAAATGAGTTCTTAAAAGATAGCTCCTCTCTAAAGGAAGCTATTGACCTACTAACTTTCAATAGAGTTTATAACTGAGACAATGGTTATGATTAGCATTCAAATTTATTAGAACTACATCATAGTACCCAAGTGATGTAACCAGGGCTCGAAAAATAAGACAAAAGTAAAATAAGTGTTAAATATAAATAAAATTATTAAAAAAAAGAACTACATCATAGCATTTCTATCACATTTGATGTTTGCCCTGGATTATTTTTATAGTGCTTTATAATATTAATCAGCTAGAGGATTTTTTAAGGTAGGTCTGATAAGCTGTATTTTATGTACAGAATGTTTTTCACTTAAATATCATATGTCTTACATTCATCCATTTTAGATGGATAGAGATCTGATGGTAGGAAAACTGGAAAGAGACCTGTACACTCAACAGAAAGTGGAGATACTGACAGCTCTCAGGAAACTTGGTGAGAAGGTACTAGTGTTTAATTTAATATATTAAGGCCAGGTACGGTGGCTCACGCCTGTAATCCTAGCACTCTGGGAGGCCGAGGCGGGTGGATTGCTCAAGGTCAGGAGTTCAAAACCAGCCTGAGCAAGAGCAAGACCCCATCTCTACTATAAATAGAAAGAAATTAATTGGCCAACTAATGTATATAGAAAAAAAAATTAGCCTGGCATGGTGGCACATGCCTGTAGTCCCTGCTACTCGGGAGGATGAGGCAGAAGGATTGCTTGAGCCGAGGTTTGAGGTTGCTGTGAGCTAGGCTGACGCCACGGCACTCACTCTAGCCTGGGCAACAAAGCAAGACTTTGTCTCAAAAAACAAACAAACAAAAAAATAATTTAATATATTAAGTATAAAGAAAGAATGTAAAGTATTTGGTACAGAACTTCTTGATCTGTGGTCTAGTTTGTCATCCTAAGACATTTTAAACTATGGTTTGTAGAACTGCCTATAACATTTGAACCCACTCAACTGGGCTTTGTTTCATCTTGTTTAGCTGACTGCAGATGATGAGGCCTTCTTGTCAGCAAATGCAGGTGCTATCCTCAGCCAGTTTGAGAAAGTCTCTACAGACCTTGGTGAGTGCCCCCATATTTCTGAAAGGTGGACATATGAGTATATTACTGCTCTAAATTAATGGAGAATGTGGTTGAGAAAACATGATGGCTTTTTCTTGCGTTTAAGAATGAAACCATTAAATGCATTGTATTGGTTTTATTTCCCAATACTTTGTAATTAAAAATAAATTAATGTAGCCTAATGTTTTTAAAATACTTGTCAGTTAGGCCAGGCGTGGTGGCTCACGCCTGTAATCCTGGCTCTCTGCGAGGCCGAGGTGGGTGTCAGAAGTTCAAAACCAGCCTGAGCAAGAGCGAGACCCTGTCTCTACTATAAAAATAGAAAGAAATTAATTGGCAAACTAATATATATACAAAAAGTTAGCCGGGCATGGTGATGCATGCCTGTAGTCCCAGCTACTTGGGAGGCTGAGGCAGAAGGATTGCTTGAGCCCAGGAGTTTGAGGTTGCTGTGAGCTAGGCTGACGCCACGACACTCACTCTAGCCTGGGCAACAAAGTGAGACTCTGTCTCAAAAAAAAAAAATACTTGTCAGTTAGATGTAACTATAACAGTAAACTAAAATTTTATATATTCTATTTCATATCTAGAGCTGGAATAAGGATTTGTAACCAATAAGTCACGCTGTGTAGCTGGATTGTTTGTGAAGAGGGAAGGAAATTGGGAAGGAATTGGGAAGGTGTAGGGGTTAATGTGTGGACAATGGAGGCTAATTCTGTTTTATTTTTTTATTTTATTTTTTTTAATTTTTAAAATTTTTTATTTTATTTTATTTATTTATTTTAATTTTTGAGACAGAGTCTGACTCTGTTGCCCAGGCTAGAGTGTCATGGCATCAGCCTAGCTCACAGCAACCTCAAACTTCTGGGCTTAAGTGAACCTCCAGCCTCAGCCTCCCCAAGTAGCTGGGACTACAGGTGCGCACCACCATGCCAAACTAATTTTTCTATTTTAGTAGAGACGGGCTCTCGCTCTTGCTCAGGCTGGTCTCGAACTCCTCACCTTGAGCGATCTGCCCGCCTCAGCCTCCCAGAGTGCTAGGATTACAGGCGTGAGCCACCGTGCCCTGATTCTGTTTTCTATTTCAATTATCTGTAATAGATTTTTCCCTCTTTTCCTGGAATTGTAAATGCGCTTGAAGTAACCTTTTTGTTTATTATGTGTCTTTCTTCTTAGGCTCTGGAGACAAAGTCCTTGCTCTGGCAAGTTTTGAGGTTGAAAAAACAAAAAAATGACGTGATGTGGAAGCTTGTAACATTGATCACATTCTTATTGTGAACGGTTTTTCTTCTGAGGGTTTTCAGTTATTGCAAAGAAATGAGATTCTCAAAATGCATTGATAACCTAAGAAAAGGTGACATAAAGACATACTTGTGGCTTCTATTTATGCTCTTCATCATTGTGCTTTGTACAGGGCTACCTGCTTGAGTGATCCAGGACTGTGGGGATTAAGGGTCTCACTGGACTTCGTTCATTATGATTTGTCTGTTTAAGAGAGAGAACAGAAAATGGACTTTCTCTGTTTTTATTAATGTTCCTTGTGTTTTAGTGCTAGTAGTGAATGAAAAGATGTGAACTGCTTCTAACTTATCCCCACTTGTTGGAGTGAACAGTGAAGCAGCATCAATAGACTTCATATGTGCTCATAAAATTTTAGGGTTCAAAGTGATCCTAGAAATTATTTTCATTTTGCAAACAAGGAAACTGAGGTTCAAAAAGAGCAAGTGACTTGCTTAAAGTCACATTAGAGACCTGGGAATAAGACTCCGGTGTCCTGACTCCCAATTTAGTTTCTGTTGAGTTTTATTTCTGTACTTAAAAAAAAAAAAATTAACACTATTTGTGCAAGTCAGTGCTTTTGAAAATTCAATGTCCCAAGAAAAAATTGACCCTATACTAAGAGACCATCCCCCAGCTTGTAAGCTCTCTGTATGAATGGGGCCCATTGTATCTCTGAGTTTTGAGCTAGGAACAATGGGAGCCCTGTTGAGAGTCTCCTGAAGTAACTTAGCTTCCTCAGTTGTTTCAGGAGGGAAGCAATAGGAAATGGCAGCTAGAGGCCCTCCCTGTGTGTGACCTCTTGCCAAACTCAGGAGGTGGTAACTGTAAGCTACTATCTACTCTTCAGTTTTTGGAGAAACACAAAATAAGTTATGTGGAAAAGCAAGTTTCTTCCTGAGTGTTTACGTGTCTGTCTGCACGCTCAAATATGTAGATATGTCCGTATTTATGTACATTAGCTATTTCCTAGGCTCTGGCCATTTTATATTCTTTAATGTGTTTCTCAGTATTCTTTTTCTTTGTTCTTTATACACATTAAAAACATTTTTAAAGCTTCTTGTATATTGTAAACTCTACTAGGTGCTTTACCAACTGACAAATTAGGGGACCTCAGCTACATTGATGCCTTGGAACTTTTAATGAGTTATTTTTTATAGTTTAGTTTATGGCTGTCAAAAACTCACTGAGGAAGTGGCTCATGCCTACAATCCCAGCATTTTGGGCAGCTGAGGCAGGAGGATCGATTGAGGCCAGGTGTTCATGACCAGCCTAGACAACATAGCAAGACCCTGTCTCTCCAAAAAAATAAGAAAAACTAGCCAGGTGTGGTGGTGTGCACCTGTAGTCCCAGCTACTTGGGAGGCTGAGACTAAGGCAGGAGGATCACTTGAGCCCAAGAACGTAAGGTTGCAGTGAGCTATGATCCAGCCACCGCATGCCAGCCGAGGCAACAGAACAAGACCCAGTCTCGAAAAAAAAAAAAAACAACTTACTGAAATTGTGACAAACCAAGAAAAAAACAAAATACTACTCATGTAAGCTAAGGCTTTATAGTTGATCATCAGTATTTCATTTTTATGTGTTTTGAAAAATGGAGGTGAAGTTTATATGAAATTCACCATTTTAAAGTATACAATTCATTGGCAGTTAGTACATTTACAGTGTTGTGCAACCGTCACTACTATCTAGTTCTAAAACATTTTCATCAACTCCAAAGGAGACCCCATATCTATTAAGCAGTTGCTACCCATTCCCTTCTCTTCCCAGCCTGTTAGCAGCCACTAACCTACTCTCTGTCTCTATGGCTTTACCTATTTTGGATATTTTATATGAATGGAATCATACAATATATGACCTTTTTATGTGTCTGGCTTCTTAGCATAATATTTTCAAGGTTAATCCACATTGTAACATGTTATAAGTACTTCATTCTTTTTTATAGCTGAATAATATTCCATTGCATGGAAACTACATTTCATTTATCCATTTATCTGCTGATGAACATTTGGATTGTTTCTACCTTTTGGCTATTGTGAGTCATACTGCTGTGAGCATTTGTGTACAAATATTTGTTTGAATACTTGTTTTCAATTTTGGGGTATATATCTAGGAATGGAATTACTGTGTTTGTTTCTTTTTTAAGCCATAGTAAGATTCTTCCTCCCCCCCCACAATAGTAGACCAAGAAAATTAGGAATATTTTGTATTTGAAAGGGAACTATATGAATCTAGAGCCCTTAATTTGGGTTTAACTTAACCTCTATTAATATAAGACCTGCATCAGTGAAATATTTTGTCATTAATCACATTAATATGTTCATTTTCTAAGTAATGATCCAAATGATCTGAATTTAAAATTAAAAGTGGCCAAATTTGCAGTGCCCAGCAAGACACTGACAGTCAAGGCTATGTGACCTTTGGTAGGTTACTTAATCTTTTTTGAGCCTTATTTTCTTTTTCCATTCAATGGAGACAATAGGACCTACCTCATAGGATTATTGTGCTTTACTCTTTCTTTTTAGTTTTTAATTTAAAGAAAATTTTTGGTAGAGATGGGGTCTAGCTTGTTGCCCAGCCTGGTCTCAAGCTCCTGACCTCAAGCAATCCTACTGCCTCAGCCTCCCAAAGTGCTGGGATGATCGGTATGAGCCACCAAGCCTTGCCCCCTCTCTTTCTTAATACATATAACTAACTCTTCTAAGCAACATATATATTTTATTTCACAAATTTGGTATTCATTCGGAAAAATAATTTGAAAAGTGAGTAAATTCTATGTAATTGTAGTTGTTAAATAACTTGTAAACTATGTTTCCTGTTCACATTTTGCTACATTTACTCTTCTAGATTTTTAGATCTCTTCGGAGGTTAGAGGTAGCAATAACAAGTAGGCAGCTAACTTTTCAACATTCTGGGTCAGGCTAATATTTTGGTGAAAAGAATTCCTGCATTTGTGAGAGAACTGGGGCTGAAACAGAAATAAGTTCCAATGAACAAGTGTCCAAATGGGCTGTTTAATGAAATCTAATACTTTAAAACAATTTTGATGTTTTAGTGTTTTGTTTTGTTTTGTTTTGTTTTGGTCCTATGAGTGGTAAGTTGGGTATTTTAGGTGGGTGGTGAAGGAAAAAATCAAGAGATGACAGAATGAGAAAGTGTTCCCAGGAAAGAGTTGGAGTTGGGACAAATGGATTGTTAACTTTGCTTGTCAGACCTTTTATTGAAGACAATCAGCCAAGGAATGGTCATCTTTAGAAAAATAAAAGACTGTGCAACTCCACCATTGAAATGGTGTCTTATTACGGTGAATGATGGATAATTTGAAATTATTACAGAAAAAATAAAGCCAGACCATTTTGCCTACAGCCTTTCAACTACCTTCCTGTCCGTGTTTTTCTTTCTTCTTCTATTCATTGCGAATACCAAAGAATGCTCTCCTTTGCCTCTCAAAATATTTTCCAGCATTAGAATGTAAATTAAACTGTCATCATTCCCACAGACTCCCACAAACAAGTTGCAAGATATAATTGCTCCCATTCCATTCGGCCCCGGAATTAAAACAATTCTGGAAACTGGAGAAACTATTATTTAATATTTCATCAAGTTGCAAAAAGCAGGTTAAAAATATGGCTCTTGTAGATATTTCCCTAGAATATGGCCTTTTGACATTCCTAATTCACTTTTTTGAAATCACTCCCAGCTCACACTAATAGCAAACTGGAGTGACTTGCATTGCTGAAAGGGCCTCAAACACAAGGGGTCAGCAATGTTCTCAAGAGTTCACAATGGAAAATCAATGCTGTTCCAGAGGTTCAGCAAAGGTGAGAGGTTTGAGGCTGTCAGCTGGAAGCTTCCTAATGCTTGTTTTCCTATGAGACTATCACAATGCTTATAGCCTCAGAAAGTTGATGACAATTAAAAATAGCTAAAACAAGCAAAAAAGTTATTTTCTATAAAAGAGATCAAGAAGAGCCACCAATTTGGTGGGGTTTTTGTTTTTTCAAGTGAAGATAATGCTGGTAAGGGTTATTTATAAGATTATGCATTAGCCACAGATCTTCTGCCCCAACTTCTGGCATCTGTGAACTTTTGAAGCCTTTACACACACACACACACACACACACACACACACACACACACACACACACTGCTGAAGCTGTGTTACAGTCATAATTTCAATAAATGCTTGAAGTATTTGTTATCTTAATTGTCTATTTACTATAAAATGTCTTAGCAGGTCAGGTACTATTTTTTGTCACTGTGAAATTATCGTATTACATAAGACTATTCTTTAAGAGGAGTTTTGGGTTTTGTTTTTTTTTCCCTCGGGAAAAAAACTGAAATTTGCTCCTTTGGGCCTGCCGTTATTCCTCCAATATTCATTAGCAAGGCCAAACTGAAAACTGAGGCAGTTACCCTCAGTGATAATCAGAGACAGGTAGTTTAGGTAAAAGTAAATATTTGGCCTGGATTAGATTGTAACTGATTGCAGTAACTATGGTTTGACCATGGTCAAAGAAAATGTGGTGCCTTTACTGTTTCACCTTTAAAAAAATTATTTTGTTAGCATTTCAAATTTTACATCAAATTTATTCTAGGTCTTGGCAAATTATACCTTAGATTTGTTTTATAAAGCTCAGAGCTTATACTTGTTTGTTTATTCTGTTTCACATTTACTCAGTAAAAGAGCATTTCTACTTTTGGAGCAAACATGGCAAACTCTCAGTCCCTTAGCCTCAGCCTTTGACTTTTCTTTTCATGCCGTTTTCCAGAAGTGCGAGTAGTTTATTCCCCTGCCAGAAAATACCATGAGTAAGACTCCATATAAAGAAGTACATATAGACATACCTAAATCTGCTTTCCATTCTTAGCAGGAAAATGTGGACTGTGTCCTTCCTTTGCGAGCATGTGTTCACTCCCTGTAGGCCTCTCTTTGGGGAATGTGCATCGGTGGCACCCTCTGCTCACTCCCTGTAGGCCTCTCTTTGGGGAATGTGCATCGGTGGCACCCTCTGCTCCAGGGAGGAGTTCCTGACCACCCATGGTGCTACTTGTGCCAGAGTGAGAGGTTAATTGTGCCAGGTCAATTTTGTTAAAATCAAAGTATTGGACAAATTGTGTACACTAGCCCCTTTCGGTTTGAAAAACTCAGAATATGCATCTTTCTGATTGGGATTAGGTATTGAAGAAAAGAAAAACATGTTTTGGAAAAATTTTACAGTAATTACTGTGTAGAAGTGAGGGAAGTTTCTATCTGCTACCTCCACTGATGGTGATGTCATTTAATTTTTCATGAGAAATATACTTAGTGCTGATACATGCCAGACACATTACTGGCCTCTTTTTTGTTAACTTTTCTAAAAGAGTCCTTTTTTTCTTTTTTCCAAATAAGACTCTTAAGAGTTGATACCATTAATACGGCTGCATTACTGTTGAGGTTTATTTTACAGTGGTAAAATTGTGTTTTAAATAGACCTAACAATGAAGAAAAAAAAATCTATGACTATCATAGTTAGCTGGATCTTGCAAACTTCTAATGTATATTATATTCTTTATTATAAAGAATGTTACACTTGGAAATCATCCTAATCTATACAATTTGATCTAAATGATCTCTTTCATCTATAATAATTTTTACCTCATCTTTAATCAATCTGATAAAATACATATCTCACTAAGATGCGTTATTAAGCTGTTTTGGAGACTATTAAGTGTAAAGAAAGTTGGAATACTCCATTTTTAATCTGAATTCCACCTTTTTTTTTTTTTTTTAAAGAGAATGTGTTTTGATCTTTCTTCTGGGCTGGAACTCCTGGTCTCAAGCAATTCTCTCACCTTGGCCTTCCCAAGTGCTGGGATTACAGGTGTGAGCCACTGGGCCTGGCGAGAGCCACTTTTTCATACTTAATTTTTGTCCCACTTTATCAAGTGGCCTTCCATGTATTCATGTAGATATTTTGTGAAGAATGATTATTAAATGTATAGTTTGCTTTGAAATTGCAGTGTAAAGAACTGTATAAGAGCAAAATAATACTACTTTCATAAAATATTTAAAATCT